GCCTTAATGGCTCTAAAATTATTGCTCTCACTCCGTTTGCGGCGATATGCAACATGTGCGGCACGTAGGCGCACCTGATGCATATATGCGTGTGTATTAGGGGGGCGCGGACTTAAAAAATTTTTAAAAAAAATAAATGTTATGCTTCTTTATTTTTTTATGAATTTCCTGTTTGTATTACTTTTTTTTACATAAAACTTTATTGCCATTACATGGGGGGCTAAGAAGCCCCCTATGGGATAGCCAATTTACATGACAGGTCCTCTTTAGGGAGACATCAGGGGTCTCCAAGACCCCTAATGTCACCTAGGGACCTCCAGAGAAGCTGATGAAGCAGAGATCGGCTTCATCAGCTTCTGTAGCTGGAGAGTGACACTGAATGCAGGAAGTGATGTACTATACATCACTTCCTGCATTCGGGGACTGAGAGGAGATCAAAGGGAGTTCGTACACTGAACTCCCTTTGATCTTCTGTCACAGAGCCATGCCGGTCCCGGCCACATCGGACCTCGGGACCGGCAGCTTCTGATACAAGTGATCGAGCGTCTCTCGAGACGCTCGATCGCTTGACTGTAAAGCTCCCGGCCGGCCGTGTAATTACAACGGCCGGCCCGGAAGCTGCTCGTCGGGCTCCACTGTCTGCTCGTCACAGACGAGCGGATTATATATATATATAATATACACACACACCCAAATAATTCATGATAATCCGGGTTCTAGAGTTAGTCTCCTTGGACCTCGAAAAGGCTTTCGACTCTGTAGACTGGTACTATTTGCAGACTGTACTAATAACATTGGGATTTGGCCCCACCTTCTATAAGTGGGTTACTATCCTCTATAATCAACCTAGAGCTGCCATTAAGATGGGTGCGGCACTCTCGAGTTTTCCGATCTTGCGGGGCACGCGACAGGGATGCCCGCTATCCCCTGGTCTGTTTACCATGGCGATTGAACCAATAGCAAGTGACCTTCGTCAGTCCAAGGGGATCCGTGGTCTCTGCGTAGGGGGGGTTGGAGGAAAGGGTGGCCTTATACGCAGACGACATGATATTGTTTCTAGCTGATATGGACCAGTCGTTGGTAGAGTCCTTCGGTATATTACAAAGATTCACTACATACTCAGGGCTGTCTGTTAATTGGAACAAATCCCAATATCTCCCCTTAGACCCATTGAATCACTCCGCAATATCACAGTATGCACAACTGCAACAGGTTTCAGCACTAAAATATTTGTGCCTGACGATTTCTACCTCTGTAGCAGAATTTATGACTCTCAATGTCTCTTCGGTCATCGCCCAGTTCAAAAACCGCCTCTCAGCTTGGAAGA